CCGAATTTAAGGGTGTCAAAGCAGCAGCGTAAGTAAAAATCCGTAAATTCATTATTAGTTACTCTCTCCTTAATATACTAATCTGTCTGTATTGGTTTAAATTCCCAACATCACGAGAACAATATGGTGATATTGGATATGTGGAATTGAAACGCGAGGGTTCTTTGTGCACTGGACAAGGTAGAATTTGCCCAGAACACAAAGTACGATCGGAGGCATATTCTGTCTGCCTCATCATTAGCTTTTTGTGCGTACTTTCATTAAAATGATCCTCGCAACAAAAAAACATTGATTTTGATTTAGGAACATCACGTCTAGCTGCTTTGAACCATAAAACTTTACGTGCATAATCATGGAGAACGGTTAGAAAGAGTTTGTTTGGAGCACTTATCCGTATTCTTGCATCCTGGCACAAAACACCACTTATTTTGTGATCCATACATGTCACTATTTTCCATTATGCAAGATAATAATAATCAATAAAATAACGATAATCACAATAACTTAAATAATAAAACAAAGGTGCGAAAACAACAAAATAAGCACGAGACACTTTGTTGATATGACCTGCTACGTCATAGTCGGGATAGGCAACCGACGATACGGATTCGGCGTTTTTGGCGGAAAATATCTGATTTGAATATAAATTCATAATTAATTTGCCATAACTACTTTCCATATATCAACATGAAAACGCCCTATTGCCAAGTCGTCTAAATGGTGCTGTCGTTATAGGTTAAGAGGTCGAAATTTTCTCAAACGATGTTAACTGATTTTAACTGCTCAGAGTTTTAGCTGGGAAGTCACCTAAAAATCCGGTTTATTGGGGAGAAATTGAATTGCGTGGAGACCTTCCAGAGACTAAAAAATTAACGCTGTATTACGACTATACGCCACCAAGAAGGGATTTTATAATTCAAATAATGCCATGTTTAAACAACGGAATAAGAGTTTTTTACGTCTCATTTAAAAGCAAAACATAAAAAAAGTGCATTGTTGCACACAAAAGCCACTCAAACCTCATCCACGAACACACCAAATCTAATAAAGTGAGAAAGTGATTCCGTAAGTTTTTTTCTACATTAAATTGCCTTCCATTTAGTACCAGGTTTCAGCCAATGAAAAAATTCGCAAAGTCATGGAAAACGCTGTAAAGTCAAAAAGCGCCTACGCTTACGATTTTTTCCATTACCATAAGCTCACAAAGGCGGGCGTCCCTTGCAGAGAGCAAGCAAAAGGGCCCTTGAAACTACGCTTGGAAATCTTATATAGCAGACAATGCAATAATGCACATTTTATTTGAGCGGCTCACATTTCTCAAGCATCGAATTTTTGTTCAGATTTAAATGCATCAAGCACATGTATTTTAGTGACGAAGTAATTTGCCAGGACGATAGAGAAATGTTCTCAACGGGTATATGATGTGACCACTTCAAAACAAGAAATAAACTTTGAAGGACCAGGAGAAAATATTTGCCATTTCAAATAGCAAATTTCGACTTCTCTTCAAAGTCCCATAAAAAACGTGTACGGTTTGCATCTGTAAAAAATGGTGTGCGTCACAGGACGCTCGACAGAAGTGATAACTTCATAAATTAATAGAAACCATGAAATTTTGAACTTGTTTAACGCATGATGGCAATAATAATTTTATTTTATAATTTTAATATTCTTGTTAGTCTAATAATTTATAAATGGATCAGGAATAAGCCCTAATAAATTCGTTTTACATATTTTGCAACTATAAGCTGAAGGGAGATTCGTATCGTCTTAACATCAAGAATGCGTCGCAGGATAGATAATAAGAAGACGGAACCCATGTTTCCTGAAATAATCGAGATAAACTCAAATATTTTTTCAATTAAATTCAAAACATATTTATTATATATTATTACAAAGCAGTAATGATGTTTATCATTTTATGTTAAATATGAAAGATTACAAAAGGGATATCTAAATATTGATTATTTGTTGTTATAAGATAAAATAGCAAATAATAGAACATATTATTGCATTAAATGTTATTAATAATAGTTGTGACACTTTATTTGCACTTAATCTTGAGCGTTTTTCATAAATTGACCCTGCCTTCTTTAGAAAATATCCGCTCAACATTTGGTTTAACAATTGTCTCCGATGAAAATCACTAAACAAGTAGGTAGTAATATTTTACCAGTTCGGAACTTTGAATCGTGCAATACAATGCAAATGGACATCATCAGGGTAGCATCTGAACTACCGACCGACAGAAAGACATAGGGAATCAGTACCGGGATTTTATCGATACGATTTAATTTAATTTAATCTTTTCTTGATACGAATTTGCGTACACAATCAATCAGGCGATTTAAAATAGGTACAACAGTTTTTCAAAAACTTTATTGCAGTGGATCTTAGGCACACTTTTGTTGCACAACATCGATTGTTAGTTCTTAAAACAATATTTAACAGTGCACGGCAATGTGCAATCTCACTTGCAATGATAAATACCCGGTCGTTTGAAGATGATTTTCAAAAGTTTGTAATACATTTTTCTGCAAATTGATGGACGATC